CATTAGTGGCTTCAGACTCCATTGTGTGCTCTCTGATGCTCTTTTTCATGCATTTGAAGAGAGACTCTGATACAAATTGTCACGGACTAACTTATCCCAAGTCATTCATGCGTCTTTAGTGCTCTTCCTTGACACTAAATCAACCTAACTCTCATAACTTTTGGAGTTGTAACACACAACACTCTTGGAAGAAGAATAAAAAATATTGGAGAAAGAAAACACTTCATTAAAAAGGAGTGATTACAACACTTGAATGCTCGAAACCTTGGATGGATCCAAATGAGTGAGAGGGACTCCTATTTATAGTCCCCTCCAAGTCTAAGGGAACATTCTAGATTATATTAGAATAGTCTAGTTTCTAGAAAGTTACACACCATTATTTTATATATATACATAGTCCTAGATCCTTCTATGTTATTCTTGAGTTCTCTAAGGACCTTTTCCTCCTAACATTCTCTAGAATGTCGTGGAGTCTTCTAGAGTTACTTGGATTGCTCTCCTACATCTGGTCTTTTCTAGGATCATACATCCCATAATTGTCTTGCCAATTTCTTTTGAGATAGTAGAGTGTGACAAACGACCTTAATGGTCAACAAGCTTGAGGATTCAGCGGCTCCTTCCAGAATGCTTGCTTCAAGGAGTTCCTCATCTCTTAAACTACATTAAGGAGGTTGAGGCACCTTCCATGACACGAAAAAAACTTGGTGTTCAAAACAATTAGCGAAAAATTATTCAGAAAATATAATCATGCAAGTAAGATTAATATGAAGCTGGCAAAGTAGCGATTATATATCTTATTGCAATAAAAAACTCAACATCAAGTTTCATACCGTTTAATAAGGTATAACTCTAACTTTTCTCAAGGGCAAGCTCTGTGACAGTCGGTCCCCTACACACAACATACGGTCAATCGGAGGTACGAATCGTCTATTCACCCTTGCAATGGACAAAGCAAAACTTCTTCCAACCAAAAATCATATTCTCTAAATTGAACATTACCACCTTCAAAGGAGAAAACAATGCCATCCCATTCTTAAAAGCTTTCGGCCGCAACAAGTTACTAAAGACATTCACCAACTAGTATAATTTCTTATGCCTCAAATACAAGATAACTGATATTGCATTCGCTATTGAGTTCGAGTGAATCTGAGCAGGAAGTAACCCGAAAAAGTTCAATACATCTACTAATTCTTTGCAGAGAGAAAAACGAAGGCCAAGAAAGTGATCTTGGTAGCAGCACACGTCATATGGAAGTACGGTGTTTGGAGCTTCATCCTCCCAAGGTAGTCAAAGAGTGGAGTAACTGAACATGCAATTTTTTTGTATCTTGGCAAGATTCTCCGTAATCATAGATGATCCCCCGGACATCTCCGCAGCATAAAAATTTCTGCTACTATTCTCCATAGCAGTGGTGACTATATCCATCTCCAGGCTAGAATTTTCTAAATTCTCTATGGTTGCAAGAAAAGAGAAATCACAAAGAGATTAGAAAAGCTAGGGCACGAGTCACAAGCGTTAAGGGTAAAAGAAAAATAATGACTTAAGAAAGAACAAATAATTTGACTCTTTCGAGCTCTAATATAAATGTGAGGGTAAAAACGAAAATACATCACAAAAGTAAAAGGGCACAATAGATCAAAAAGATAATTGAAAAGTAAAAAGTCACTTCATAATAAATTAGTCATCATCACAATGATGTAGCACTGATGCCTCAACACAAAAATTATACGGGCTAACCTTTGAAAGAAAAAAAAAATTAAAGAATGTGCCACATCAAATATTACAAGACAAAAAATTTAAATAGAAATACAATTATGTCTTTCATAAAATAAACTTAAGTCCTGATTTTTTATATCGTTGAAATCAATCTTCTCGGACTGCAGAGGCCTCTTCACGACTAATGATTAAGGAGTGTAAGGAGGTTATGTTAATAGAGAAGAAGTAGCTAATATTACCTTATGGAATGAGTTCACCTACATTCTTCCGAGTTCTCTTCACCGCTTCCACAACTTGATCTTTCACAACCTCAACATCTTTTTATAATTAAGTCGTTGAGAATATTCATGGGCTCCAACCGTTGATAAACAGATTTTTCTGCAAAAGAAAAGCTTGAATATTGAAAGTGCAAAATCGTTAAAAGCTAAAAAATAAGAAAAAAATTGACCCGTAGTTATAGACTCAGATCTAGGATCACAATTAGATTGAAACCCTTTTAGTCATTCAAAGAATCAAAAACAGGTGATTTAGCACTAACTTTCAAAACCACAACCACTAGTTCCCTTGAGATAGGATTCGAACGAGCAGCGCTGGAGCTATCTCATTTAGATCCACACCCCAAAACTACATTTAAATTCGCAGTGTTGCCAGTAGTACTATCTGACAGATCTTTTGTTTCAACAGGCTTTGAACTTTCTGCACCGCAATCATTTCCTTTCGAATTGTATGAATCCTTGGAAGGCCTCCCCTTTTCAGCCTCCGTTGAATAATCACATGTAACTGCCCCTCTGGGACATCCATCTTCTAGGAAAGCTTTCCAATCGAAGCAAGGTTAAGGTGACGACGAATTCTCAACAGCGACGGGGAAAAGCACAAGAACGAAGCCTTTGACTCGCAACGTTATACAAAGGCAAACACAACGAGACTCTTAAAAATTACACAAGAATTTAACATAAAAAATCTTCTTATAACCACCAAAATTGATGTTGTCATTACTGGTGTTATCTCTTTCTTATGATAAAGTGACCGCGTATCGATGAACACAGCAAGTATCCTCGTAGTACTTGTTCAAAATGATTTGATAGTTTTTCTCTGACAATCTTAAAAACTTAGCATCAACACATCCCATAAAACAATGAACAATTCACATATTACTCCACCGCTTATTGGGAGTACATTTTCTGAGTGACTGAAATAAATCACATATCTCGTAACAGTATATGCTTCTTCCCTGGGTAACTCGACAATGAACAATCCTCCTGAAACATCTATGAACCATAATCACTAAACAAATTGTGTCCATCACCAAGAAATTGAATGCTTTTGAATGAGAAACAGTCCACAATTACCCGAGAGTACTTGCAACTACTCCCGCAAGGGATGGCTTCCAAGCCCCCAGAGAAAGGAAAGTCTAAGCTCAATGGTAAACTCATGTGACTAATCTTCGAGACATAGCCAAAAGAACTTATTAGTGGTGGAAAACACTATTTCGATCGAATATGAATACATGTGTCCCTAAACAAATTCGACAGAGCAGGGTACTTTTAGCCAATTTCTCATCCTTATAGCCATACACAAAAGTCATTTATTCTCTTATTTTTTCATTCTGTCAGTATTTTCGAAGTATCCTGTTGAAGAGCTATGAAAATCGGGGAACAAAATATCTATCCAAAAATGAGTTCCTAAGCAACGGGAAAACCCATATACTAAAATGACCACATAAGCTTAACGGATCAAGTCCAACAACTCTTCCTTTAGTGGTCTGACGCTGATCAGGTCAATCGTACTTATTAATCGTACATTTGGAAGCGAAAAGTTGCAGAGCTCCTTATTTTCCAGAAGAATTCTATGAGTATCTCCGAAGGACGTCAGCATTCCAATGAGTTTTTTAAAACAGGTTGACCCCATTTCAATCTTCAAGCGGGCTCTTCCAGCCCAACTCGCCTACATTACCTGAGTTCCAATGTCATACTTGTATGAGTTGTTTGAACATTTTCACCAAATTCACTGACAACGACCTTACTATACAACCGAGCTCAGCAAACAGCTTTTCGAGGCAGAAGAAAGAGAATTTCTACATGTTAGCTTACATATCATCATTAATTAATAGCATGACAACCCACATCAGCAGTCATGTCGAAAACATGTTTTAGGTTTATTTTCTAGATCCCTGTGCATGTACATAAGCTCCTTAGTATAAACATAAGAAGGAATAGGGGGAGAACGGGGATCCTCGTCCAATCCCACACCCTCAAAAAACTCTTTAAAAATCTCTCAGTTTCTTCTCGTTCCTTCTTTCAGAACTCTCTTGAATTGTATGAATTCACGAATTATATGATCTTGCATTTCAAAAGGAATAAAAAACTATCAATATACTATAACAAATATGAGACTTTCAACCTCTTTTTAGTTCCTGTTGCTTCAAGCACACCTTCCAAACAAAGCTTTAGAAGCAATATGAGGCACTTTCTTCTAATTTTGCTTTCCAAAAGTTCTCACATTTCTATTTGATTATAATTTTTTATACTTCACAATATTTATTTTGTGTGAAGCAAATTTTTATGACAATTTACCTAGTTTGGTAGCCTTAAGGAAGTTGAGGTTCCAACTTCTTTTAAAGAATAAATATATAATACCCAAAAAATTTTAAAAATGAGAAGATTTACATACATAGCATTCAATTCCTATCTATTTACATATCTATCCCCTAAACTTCAATTTTTACATCCATACTCAACTTAACTATGCATGAAAAAGGAGTTTTTCACCTTTTAAAAGTTAGAATGGATGTATTTTTTATGTGATAATGAAATATTTCGGTAGTATTAAACTAAAAAACAAAGTTTACAAGTTAGATATGTAAATATATAGAAATTAGGTGGTATGTGTGTACACCTCCCCCGTCGTCCCCATCCCTGTCCCCACCTCCTGCAACAGCTTTACTCTACAGTTAATTTTATTTATAAACAGACCATTGCTTAGAAAAGAAACCAACAATTGGTTCAAAGGGAGAAGCAACTGCCATAAATCTGTAAATATAGCTGCATATAAACATAGCTAAGATTAAATTGATTTACATTGCTGCTTAGGTTTTGGATATGTAAATACATTCCAATTGAGTGGTTTGTACATAAATCTCCCATAATTAAATTGATTTACTTTTTCATCAAGAAGAGGCAGTGAATCTTGCAATTCATCTATCTTTTAATTTTCTCAAAAGGAAAAAACTAAATTATTCCAATATAAAAAAAAAAATCGTATTTAAATACAGAAACATTATATACCTTACGAAACATCATCACATATCCCTTCTGAACTGATCACAAGAACATCCATCGAACGAACAAGATCATCGCTTGAGAAGTTTGAATCAAATTTATATGGAATGCATCTGACAGCCAAATAGACAAGAATCAAAACATAACCATTTTCAAAAAGAAAACCATGATTGCAGCTCATAGATCCCGTCCGTTTAACCTAAAACAACGAAATGAAATGGAGAAAAAAAGAAGCTGAGAAAAGTCATTTTCAGACGTAAATGGCGGTAGTTTTCCATCACATCATCACATAAAAACCAAAACCCATTTCAAAAAGCCCATTGAAATTAACAGAAAGAAAATTAGAAGAAAAAACTATGGCTCCGGTAGAAGATGGGAGAAACATACCATGAACGAACCCGACAACGAGCCGTCCTCCAGTGCGATTGTATCGCTTGAGCTGTCTTCCCTGAAGCGAAGCCAAAGCAACCAGCCCTCTCAAATCCTCTCTCTGGCTCTCACTCTTCGAATTCCCTGTTAAATGGTGCAAAGAGAGAAACAAATTTGTCATGCAGTGCTTGTTTTGACCCAGAATAGATCATTCTGGGCGTCCTTGGATCGGTCTGGTTGAAGTTTGCAGAAAGCAGACCTCGGGATGAATGTTTATCAAACATTGAACATTTCTTACACCAAATATATATATATATATATATATAAAAGTTGCTTTTAGATCAGCGCTATGTCTCAATACTTATGCTAAATGATGAATATTTGTCAAATTCAAAGTGACATTGTTATTGGTTTATTTGAAGAATGGTGAAGAATTAGGTGATATGTATGTAATATTAAAATTTTCTGTTAAATATTGTACATTGAAAAATTGTCAGCATGAATCTCAAATAGATTTTATTGCAAAGACAAAATAAAACATGTCAAATAATGACCCGCCAATAAGAGCTTTGGAGGCGCATGTGTTTAATTGAAAGCATCAAAACGAAAACTAATTAGGGCAATCGAGCGACTCGAACTTGAGCAATTCGATCTGCAACAAAGCACATGCGAGTCTAAGAAATTCCCCCCATGCAACGAACAAGGTGGAAAACTAACCCCTCGTGTTTTACGATTCACTTAAAAGTATTCAACAGACTCTCAAAACACTATCAAGAATTAGTGAGATAAGTCTTAGACGCCCCATCAAGATTTCGCTGTCTAAGGGCGATTATTTATTCAGTTATGATGATTTACCCTCAATCTGATAGTCTGGCTTTGTCTTGTTTGTAGGACCTTGATAGAGATCGAGGGTAGCCAAACTCTACCATGCGATCAACACTACTAGCCGACTAAGGCAATCTCGACGAACATTTGCCAATAAAAAGACAACCAACCGACAACATCAAGTATAGCCAATTAGTAGTCATATTGAATCAGACGGACCAAGAACTCTCTAGGTTAACCAACCAAAAACGCCAACAAAGGCTCGTCCGTCTAGCCAACTAAGCTCTATAGTGATCAGGCTCTAGGCTCATATATGTAAAATACCTTTAACATATTATGTAGTCCCCACTAAAGTAGGGGCACAACTATAATTTCATATGTTATACCCCCTTCATCTATAAATAAGAGATCATTCAATGAATAAAGGGCTCCATAGTTTCAGTCAAAAAGGTCGGAAATGTTAACAGCTTATTTGAAATTATTTTTCATCATTTTACATTTCTTTTTATATTTTTTCCTTCCACTTTTATTTGTCCTGCACTATTTCATGAGTGATTCGTGATACGCCACCAACAAATCTTCATCGTCCATCACGAATCTCAAGGTATGACACGAATCTCTATGCAACATTTCGAGCTAAAAACATTCAATCTTCAATTAAAAGTCATATAGAGCTACAATTTTAGCAAACTTACAGTCAAACTGATTGACTTGATGAGGCGGACCTAATGATATCAAAGTTAGTCTAATCCGAGTCAAATGAAGGCCAGATCAAGCGATTAAACCATTCTTGAAAAATTTTTGGACACATTTGAAAGATCAAACAAATGTCAAATTCAACGAGTTCATAGTCGAATAGAGCGTCTCGATAAGACAAATCTAATGATCCCAAGATTGCCCAATTCCGACATCGTTAAGGCACTCAAATGTCCATCAAACGTTATCCGATCGAGAGAAGCTCTCCGAACCGTCCAATCAAAATAATTTATATTCCTGCATTAATTGCACCCAGAACACTATAAATATAGCACCAATCCTCACATGAAGAGGGGGAGGCTAAAGAGAGAACTTTAAACTTTGAGAATGAGCTCAAATCCAACATTATCTCTGTTATCGTTGATCGTCAACAACCACCACCGACCGTTAGCAACCACCGTCGGCCACCGCTGACCTCCGTCAACCACCATTAACAGTCATCGACTGTCGCTGACCACCGCTGACCTCTGTCGACCACCGTCGACCTTCAACAATTATCGTCGACTACCGTCAATCACCACCGACCTCCGTCGACCATCGCTGACTAGACGCCGTCAATCGACATTGTACTTTGAAAAACCTAGTAATCATTTCCCGTTTGTGAGAATGGACCTCTGCAATCATCAAATTATAGTGGATTTTTTATAATTGGGTCAGACCCCGTAATTTTTTCACTTTACGAGTTTTTCATGTAAAAATTTCTGGTGTCACACAGTTTGATTCTCTTTCATCTAATTGTGTGCTGAATCCTCGTGCAATATCAATATGATAATCCATCACTCAACCGCAACGAATTTTCTAGCAAAATTCAATTAGAATTCTATAAATATGAAATTTAATATGAATTGGTTGGTATGAAGGTAAGAAAATAATAATAAAAAAAAAGGAATAATTACGCACGAAGCACACAAAAACATTACTGTTTACAAATCAATCACAAGTATTTCGGCGATTTTTTAAACTATTAAATCGATGTATTTATCCGTACTTGTGAGTTTTATAAAAGTGAAAAGTGATGGTTGGGCAAGACAGCCCAGTAGCAACGAATCATACGAACAAAATGTATGGACGGGGCCAGGCTTTGCAAATTGCACCCAAATCTCTCAGTCTCATTCAACTTCAGCCAACCTGCAGGCACAGCTTCCAACATTGCCCCGTTCTTTAGCAGCAGGTTCCGAGTAACCGATAGCTTCGAAGTGAAGTAGGAAGAGGTGAAGCAGTGGAAATCACAAGCCTCGGCGGACTAGAGGTTCTCAAGCTCCGGAAGGTGGATGCCGCCGGCGTCAATAACGCTGATGGATCTCAGAGTCTAGGCAAGCATCCGCCGACAAAAGGAGCCAACCCTTTCCCTTGCCTCGAATGCTCCGGCACTATTATCGCCGTCGGAAACTTAGTCGACTGTTGGAAGGTCGGGGACTCGGTAAGGAGAAAAAACAAAGGTTTAATAAGATAGGGTTTTTCAAGCATTTGTGTTTCAGGATTGAAATTAATCCAAGTTTGAAATGATCTTTCTAGAGATGTTCAGCTTCAAGTTAAGATGCAACATTATATATATAGAAGTACAACCTTATAATTTTTTATAAATCCTAACACTTAACTGCCAACAATGCTCAATAGTTGATCAAATTGAGCGGCACCTCTATCAAAATGCCTGAGATAAAAGTAATATGCTATTTTAAGTTAGATTAAGAGTAAGATTATATAAAGCAAGATTAAAAAAATATTAAGAATAGAATTAATGTTAAATATGTAAAGAAGTTAACTTTTTACGCATACATGTTTTATGTGTCTAACAATTGTACTTTGTCAAGACTCTTCTTAAATTTTCTCTCAAATCATCATCTTTTACCGCACCCAAATTATAATCACTTGCATCTCAGTTTGAGATAGATTGAAATTCAAATCATGAACATGATATCGTCCAGTGAAATTATGCACTATTAAACAAGCTCAGATATTTCTTGATCGCCAAAATGAAGTTGCCATATTTGAGTTGGCATTTGAAATCTTCATTTCATATACATGGATTTCTCTCAACTATGTTATATAACTGGGCATCACAAGTATTGTACGAGTCTTATGCCACTGCTCTTTATATTTTTTTTACTAGACTGCTAGGAATCACTTTCAATGTGTGTGGTGGGAAGGGGAATAGCTTCTTCATCTACACTGCATCAAAGCTTAACCCTTAAATATCCATGTGATCATCTACAATAGCCTTGACTTTCTTTACATATTCTTTTTCTCTATATTGTTCTTCGAATTGAGGCGTGCTGCTCCTAAACCCACTTTGTTGTGGCCCACAGGCTTATGAACTAATTGAAGCAATATCCATGAAAATTTCTCAAAACCTCAAAAGCATGCTGATTTTGGAATCTACTAAATTGAAATATTGATAAAATAGTAATTTTTATTGATGAATAATAAAAAATTAATACACACAGAAAGAAACATACATACATTGTTATCCTCTTTCATTTTTGTTTGTAATCATCACCAACATCAACCTTCCAAAATTCTAGTGAAGATTCAAAGTTTATAGATTCTAATGTTTTCATGTTCAAGTGTATCAACTAGAATTGTCAATTCAATTAATAAGTAGGGTATGAACACCAATCCTATGGTTTTGATCCACTGAAAGATACAAATTTCAATAATCTCATAGCTGATTAGATTTGGTCATATTTATATAATGTTATGTTAATAAAAAAGGGTCAATGTGCAAAATTTAATAAAATTCATAAGAATTTATTAATCACAATATAACATCAATTAACAATAAAAAATGATCCACAATAATGATCATAAATGAGTATTTTTATGACATTAATGATACAACAATGAAAAAAAAATTAAAAGGGAAGGGAGATGAATATAGAGGAAACTCACTGTTAAGAGAAGAAAATCAAATGATTTTATTTACTGAACAATGATGCACATTTATAGTCGCACAGGTTGAATACAATATGTGGAAAATAAACATAATTAATGGGGAAGTATATACTATCAAAATACAATAAATTTCCGTTAGTATTTCTTAATATGCTAACTTTCCCCCTCTAGGTGGCATATAAATATAATTATTAGCTTCAGTTTGTCTCATAAGTTTAAAAATAAAAATAAAAGAGAACAAAACTTTGGTGAAGATATTCGCCACTGATTTTGAACTAGAGATATGGGTGATAATTATTTTTGAAAGCATAATATTCCATATAAATGACAAACAATCTCGAAATGCGTTTTTCTTTCATGAATCATAGGATTATTGACAATGTATGTGCTTGCACGATTGTCATAACATAGATCTATAGGCTTGATAACTATAAGGCTGAATTCTTCTAACAGAGTCTGACCTTATCATTTTACATGTATAATGAGTCAAGGCTTTGTATTTCGCTTTAAAACTAGATTTTCTATAGCAGTTTGCTTCATACCATTCCAAGTTACCATATTACTTCCCCCAAAAACATGATACTTAGAAGTTAACTTAAGGTCAATAATAGAAACATATTCAATATTAGTGAATGTTTCAAAATTTAAGTATATAGTTTGAGCATGCAACAAACTTTTTAATGAGCCCTCCTAATGTATCTAATAGTGTCACGACTCAACTTAATAGCTTAGCAATAACTAAGTTAGGAACTGCGGTCTGACAGTATTAATATTTCATTTACTTACCACAAATTTTCACAGCTTTCAATTTATAAAGATCCACTAAGATTTCACAGAATACATGAAATGAAAATTTAAATCATCTAGAAATAATAACATAATATTCAAGTAATACTTCTCAAACCTACACACAACGTATAATATAATATCTATCAATATTAGTTCTCCTTCTGTAAACTAAACCCTTCATGTCAGACTTAAAAATCTATAGTTTTTTTTCTGAAAGAAATACTTAAATTAAATAGTAAATTTTTCATCACTTAGTGAACAATTATAATCTTATTATGTATTAAATTAATATGTGAATGTTATGAATGAATGTTCAAAAGAAAATTAATCAATTAATTAATTGAATTGTTAGCTTTCAATTTAAATTAATTTTTCGTATTTCAATTTAAGTATTTACTTTTTTAACATTTTTCTTACTTTTAAGAAGTCATATTAGGAATACTATTATACCCAAATGTATACTAAAAAAATTATATCCATACATTCCATCAAAAATTTAAGTTGAATAAAAGGATCTGAATGAGAATGCATTGAAAGCAGCAGACGTGGAGGTAAGATTATGCGATTATGTTTTTAGTTATATAAATTATTTTAATTAAAATTTATTAATTAATGTTCTATTTTTAGTTACTTATAGATAATTTGGTAACAAAACTTTAATTAAACAACTTAATTATTAAAGAGAGTAATGAATATAAATATATAAAATAATGAAATAATAATAGTGATAATTGGAGAATAATTTGATTAAATGAAACTTGCTTGAATTTTAAAAGTTTGATATTATATTCTATTGGTTATTAATATAAATATAAAGGTTATCGCAATGCCAAACTGTTAATGAAAATTTAGAATCTAACATGATAACCGAGATGAGTAAATATATTTTTAAATTGTAATAATTTTTATTATTCAAATTGTATGTTTGATTTAATTCTTGTTTTTGTTCGGTTAGATTTAAATTACAATAGATTCTTTATATTGATAAACAAGAATGATATGAATGATAAATAATTGCACATCAGAGTAACTATGCATGTTAACATTATTACATAAATAGTTGTATATTAGTTTTTTTAAAAGATCATTGGATTATTACATGACATTAGAAGTATGCATGTAAAGAATCTTACATAAAACAGATGTGTAATAGTTTATCTATGAAATTATTATATTATTGTATTTCATTTTTATTTTAATAAGAGTGGTTTCATTCTTTAGTTGATGAATTAAAATATCTCATAAGGAAAAATGTATGTTATGAAGAATGAAATAATGTATATATGAACATTTGTATGTGTATGCTAAGATGAGTTCACCCTCTTTTAGTACAAGTAGGAGACACTAGTGTACCCACACACATAAATATTATTCTAGAATCTCAAACAGTTATGATGTTTAGATCACGAACCACTATGCCGACGAGATAATATCGGTCAATTGTATGTTAGGTTAAATTTTTATGGTGCTCATAAGACATGTGAATTTTAAGAGTACAAAGTTAACATATAGTTAAATTTAATGCATATAAAAATTTACGTTATTTCCATTAATTATTTTTTTGGACACATATATTAAATTAGTATAAGGTTTTCTTATAAAAATATGAAAGATCAACACGTATGCTATTTCTTTTCTATGGGTTGTTATAGTTTAAAAGTGTAATTGCTCATTATTTATTTTTAGCTAACTCATTATATGGTTTTAATATTTTTTTTTCAGGTTTTATGCATTTGAATAAGATAAATGGAGGAAGAACCAATGTGTATAGAAGACAAGAACAACCAGAAAGGTAAAACTTTTACTTATTAATTCAATTACTTTATTTAGAGGCGTGACTTTTTCATGAATACTTGAATAACAAACAATTATTGATAGGTATAGAATAATAAAGAATTTATTTCTATCGCTTCCGTCTTGATTTAAGTCTTGAGTTAGGTCGTGACACAAGGGGACAATAATAATGGCGTAGGGCAACATTGAAGAAATTCTTAACCTGATTAATGAGATGACAAAATTCATTGATTTTGCTGGAACTAAGATGCATGCAGGTCTTTGACACTATAGACTTGGTCATATGAGCTTGAAATGTATGAACTCCCTACTTTATAAAAATAAATTTCAGGGTTTGAAATCAGTAAATTTGAATTTTTGTAAAGATTGTATATATGACAAGCGGAAGAAAGTTTATTTCTCCAAAGGCGGTCAATGGTGAAATCAAAGAAACTAGAGTTAGTACATATCGACGTCTGGGGCCCTATTCCAATTTTGTCCATTGGATTTTTTCACTACTTTGTCACATTTATTGACGATCACAACATACAGACATGTTTATTTCTAAAAAAAAATGAAATATTTGAAGTGTTTCAGAAGTGGAAGACCATGTTAGAAAATGAGACAAGCTTTAAGCTGAAGTGTCTCAGATCAAATAATGAGGGTGAGTATCGTGATCAGAGGTTCAAGAATTACTATGCTTCAGTGGGGATCGATCATAAATTTACTGTTCAAAAGACTTCATAGTAGAATGGAGTGGCCGAGCCCATGAACAAAAACATCGCGAAGTGTGCCAGGAGTATGAGGTTGTATACAGGCTTGTCAAGACAACTCTGGGTAGAAGCAGTAATATGATTAATCGTGGTTCGTCAGTAAATTTGAAGGAAGCCTTACCTAAAGAAGTCTGAAGTAATAAAGAGATAAATTTATCTCACTTAAAGGTATTTAATTGTTCTGCATATGTACATGTTGATGCAAGGTTCAGGTATAAGCTTGACTCAAAATCTATCAAGTGTACTTTCATTGAATATGACTCAGATCAACCTGAGTATAAATTGTGGGACTATCAGAATCACAAGTTTATTAGGAGCAGAGATATCACTTTCAATGAAATTAATATGTACAAGGACAGGAGCAAAGCTCAGGATAGTTCATCAGTTACTTCTGAAGAATATACATATATTGTGATAGAAGATACTGGTGATTAAGAAGGTAGAGAAAGAAGTGTCCAATCAGATGAAGCACAAGCTGTTCTTTAGTCACCTGCTATTGAAGTCAGGAGATCCAACAGAATGATACAACCAATACACATGTATTCCCCTTCGTTGTACTATTTGTCGCTAACAAATAGTTATTAACTAGAGTGTTATGAGGAGGCTTCTCAAATTAAAGAATCAAAGGAGTGAGAGTTGGCCATGGATGATGAGATGTAGTCCTTGATGTCAAATCGGTTATGGGATTTAACAATATTACCAATTTGCAAAAGTGCATTACACAAGTGGGTCAACAGGCTAAAAGAGGAGTTAGTTGCTAGTAGGCTATACGACAAGACTTGTTGTGAAGGGTTTTTAATAGAAGGAAAAAGTGGACTACATTAAGATTTTTTCTCCTATGGTGAAGATGACAACTGTCAGAGTTGTGATAAGCTTAAAATAGAGGAAGTTCTATATCTAGAGAACATGGATGTAAATGCAATATTTTTACATGGATATCTGGAAGAGTAAACTGGACATGGAGCAACCAGTGGGCTACGTGGTTCCACGGAAAGAAGACTTAATCTGTAGATTGAAGAAAAACCTCTATGGCTTGAGCAGTCTTTGAGACAGTAGTACAGGAGGTTTGATAGGATCATGTCAGACAATTGGTACATAAAGTGCCGGACAGACAACTATTGCTTCATTAAAAACTTTGGTAATTATTATATCTACCTTTTTTTTGTGTGTGGATGACATGCTAATTGCAGAGACGGATAAGAAGAAAATCATGGACTTGAAGGAGTAATATCAAGGGAGTTCGACATGAAGGATTGAATTCCAACTAAAAAAATCATCAAAATTAGAATTAAGAGAGACATGAGTGCATGCATATTGAAGTTGTCTTAGACAAAGCATGTTAAGAAGATTCTATCGTGGCTTAATATGGGTAAAGCTAAATCAGTTTGCACCCATTTAAGTAATCACATCAAGCTATCTAAAAAATTATTTTCCAAGTTTGAAGCAGAGCAATCACAAATGGAGAGAGTTACGTTTTCTTTAGTAGTTGAAAGTTTGATGTATGCTCTGATTTGTACGAGATTATATGTTACATATATAGTGAGAGTGGTCAGCAAGTACATGTGTAATCCAGCATAAGCGGTGAACTGGATTCTCAGGTATTTGAGGGGATTAGTCAACATAACAGTTTGCTTTTTAAGTACTTAGATAAGTCTATAGAGATTTGTAGATTCAGACCTGGCAGGAGATTTGGATGATAGAAGTACAATAAGATATATCTTCATTTTGCGGAACACAACAGTCAGTTGGGTTTCCAGACTGCGGAAGATTTTTGCACTTTCAACTGCAGAGGCCGAATGCACTGTTATCACTGAGGTTAGCAAGTAGATGATTTCGCCACAAAGCTCTATAGCAGAACTATGCAAGAAGCAGGTAATTAAAAAGTTTCATAGTGACAATATGAGTGTTGTTTATTTTGTTAAGAACACCGCTTTCTATGCAAAGACAAAATATATTTAGCTGAGGTATCACTTTATTCATTCTCTTAGAATATGGGCAGTTGTTCTTGGATAAGATGCATAACTAAGAATCTTGCAGACATGTTGCTAAGGTGGTGACTATCAAAAAACTGGAGCTATGCTCGACTTCAATTGGAGTTCAAGAAGATTGAGATTAGCGGTGAGCCACACTATAGTTCATGATGATGAAGATGGTATAGATGGAGGTACAAATCTGGAGGAGATGTGTTGGGTTCTATTAGTCTCAAAGTGAGAGATTGTTGAGATGTGGAGTCTAAGGAGCACCCACGCAACCTCAAGTAAGAACGCGGGTGTGCTATGGATTAGAAGAGGCGACCCACCTAAACCATATTGGTGTAGCTATGTCAGTCAAAGAGTTATCAGGCCAGCGTAAGCACGCACAGGCCAGCGTAACTACGCCGAGGCTCTTTTTCTTCGTGGCTTCGGAACAGTGCATGAAATATTTATGCTAAGGAGCGGCGTAACTACGCTGTGTGCGGTTTCTGTTATGATTCAATTCTTAAGGCTTTGAATCGAAGTAAAGGTTGTGCGTATAAAATATTTTTGTGCGGAACTCTCTACGGTGCTTGGAGCGATAAATTTTGAGGATGGATTTCAGTGGCGTTTTCTCTTTTTGATCAAGAGAGGATTTGGACCAAAGTTATGTAAACTCTAGTAATTTTAGAGAGAGGATTCGAGTGGTGTAATATGTACTTTTCTTCCATTCATAGTGAAATTTTGGTGTGATGTGGCTCTGTGGTTTTTTCCTCGTTTTCGTGTTCTACCACATAAATCTTGGTGTGATTTTATGGTATTGCTTTGTAGTGCATTTCCATTTGAATTTTTTTTCCAAAGTTCTCCAATCAGGGCGATCTTTTTTTTCCACGGTATGATTTTGATTGTTAATTGATTGAAGCCCTTAGTATAGTCCATTCCAACACTGGAAGAAAACTGCAATCCGACCTTTTCAATATATATATATATATATATATATATATGTGTGTGTGTGTGTGTGTGTTTCAATATATATATATATATATATATATATATCTTTGTGTGTGTGTGTGTGTGTGTGTGTGTGTGTATATAATATTTCTCATAGTAGCTTTTGAAAAATTTCTCATAATAATTTTTGAAGCACCTTTATAAAAATCTACAGCTGTCCCAAATGAACTTAACTGCACATGATCGATTGGCCTTTTCAATCTTGAGAACTGCATTGATGCTATTAAATATTTCTATGAAAAAAAAAGTCTACATTCTGATTCTTCTTTACCGTGAATTTGTTTCAGCTGCTGGACTACGAAACAGAAGCCCAGAACATAAGGCAGCTATAGTAGCTGAGGTAGAGGGACATGTTTGGCCTGCTATTGAAGCAGGAAAGTTGAAGCCCATTGTATAAGCAGCAGAAGCTCGCAGGATCTTACAAAGAAATAATCATATCGGTAAAATAATTCTAGTTCCATGAACAAAACAAAACAAAAATTGTGAACCAGTCTAATAGATCGACAAATAGTGGCTTCTTTCATACAGTATAAATAGTGCCAATGATATTGTTGTTTATTTACTTTAGCAATGAGAAATAATAGGTTCACTTTCAATGCCAATGACCCCTTGCCATATAAAGCCCTCTTAATTCTATCTAATTTTCGCATTATATGGATATTTGATACGAGCCCGTCAGGTACACATCAACGATTAAGTTGGCAGAAGGATTTTATATGATTCGTATTTTATGTTTTAGTTTTTACTTAGTTAATTTTTGGTTATATTAGGTTTAATTTTGTTTTGAGTTATTTAAATGTTGGGCCTAAAAATGTGCTAATTGAATAGTAGCGAGAGACTTGTGTTATGCGAAAGCGGGGAAATTCACTCAACAACAATAAAACACAAAAGATTAATATGGTTCGACGTCAAGTTGATTTTCTTACATCCATGGGGAGAGAGATTCCACTAGTACTAGATGAGGAGAAATAAAGAGCTACTTGGATTACAATTTCCACACATCTCACCATAACTCACACATGAGCCCTAAGTCCCTTTTATAGAGAATTACTAGGGCATACAAGTAAACAAAACCAAAAGACCAAATTACCCCTAATTAAAAAAAGTCATAAAGTTCAATAATCTCCACCTCATCTCTTACTTCCAGATAATTGGTGACCAAATGAGGTCCAAACTCCAAATCAGCTACACCAATAAGGTTGCCTACGTACCCCCCTCCTAAAAGGGATCAAGCCTCGCGCAATTTTTCAAATGTCGATCAGGCGATCACTCTTGAGCTCGAATGTTCACTAAATTCCTGCAATATGTGAACTTCTGGAGTTGAGTATCTTCATGAGCTTGTTCGTTGGATTCTCCTTTGTATCTATTTTCTTCAACAAAGTTTAGAACAAAGTAGTGCCTAATATCAATATGCTTGGTACGAGCATGATGAATTGGATTTGTGGCAAAGAACATCGCAATTCGACTATCACAAAATGTTGTCAAAGTCTTCTGATAAACTCCTAAATCATGCAATAGGCCCTGCATCTATATTGCTTCCTTCATCGCCTATGTGACTGCCATCTATGCAGCCTTCGTAGTAAACAAAGTAACAGCAGACTGAATGACTGACCTCCAACTAATTGGACCTCCTGCCAATATGAATAAATAGCCAGTCGTAGATCTCTGACTATCCATATCACCTGGATGGTTTGAGTCAGTATAGCCTACACACAAATCTGCAATAGATAACTGTCTATCGAACACTAAGCCAACATCAATTGTACCCTTCAAATACCTCAGAATACTCTTCACAATCTATCAATGTTCTCTTCCTGGATCATGCATGAGCTGCTCATGATACTAACTTCTTGTGCAATATCTGGTCTAGTTCAAACCATGCTATTTATTAAAATGCCCTCTACACTAGCATAAGAAACTATTCACATATCTTTCTTCTCCTGATCATATTTACGACACTAATCTGAACTCAACTGAAAGTGAGATGCAATGGGTAGACTCACAGCCTTATTCAGGTCATCAGCCCAAATTTTTTTAGCACCTTCCAAACATAAGTTGCTTGTGGGAGCCAAACTTTTCCATCTGTCTTGTCCTTGAGAATCTCCATGCCAAGAATTCGGCGAGCTTCACCCAACTCCTCTATTTCAAAATGTTTGGACAATTGATTCTTCATCTTATCAACCTTAATCTGGCTATCAAATGCAATCAACATATAAAGACAAGCAAATGAACTCACCATTGACCAACTTCTTGAAATACGCACAATGATAATACTGACTCATCGTGTACTTTTGTTTTGTCATGAACTGATCAGTTTTTTATACCACTGCCGTGGTGATTGCTTCAACCCATATAATGACTTATCCAGTTTGCAAACCAAGTCTTTTGATGCTCTATATCTAGGCGGTTGTAACATGTAGATCTCTTTCAATTCTCCGTATATGAATACATACTTCACATTGAGTTGTCCAAGATCAGGTCGTATTGTGCTACAAGTGCTAAGAGAACACAGATTGATGGATGCTTCACTGCTGGGGAGAACACTTCGTCATAATCAATCCATTCTCATTGTGCAAATTCTTTTACTACTAATCTCGTCTTATACCACACATCAACTTCTTGAGATTCTTTCTTCTCTGCATACACCTATTTGCACCCGATGGCTTTCTTTCTTAGAGGAAGCTTCACCAACCTCTAAGTAACATTCTTCCGAAGAGACTCCATCTTGTCATCCATTGTCGATCTCCAAAGATCATAGTCTGAGCTCTCCTGCACTTGCTTCTTTGGAGTGACAAGAAAGATCTGCATCCGTAGCTGAAAGTGCAAATGCAATGTAGTTCATCAACCAAGCTGGTATGGAGACATTCCGACGCCTAGTCCCTCTCTTAGCATTAGATTTCTGAGCAGGAATCTCATCCTCAACATCTTCCATCTTTTTCTGAGCACCATCAACAAATTCCTTCCAAGTTGCAATTGAATTAGATATCTGAGTTTGAGTGGACGAACTCTGTGTAAAATATGGAGTTGCATCAAACTTCAACTTCTGCTACATATCTGTGGTCCCAATAGTGCTCTCCACTTGCTTTGAATCCTGATTTTTCAGCAAGTTTGTTTTATCAAATGTAACATCACTGTCAATAACATATTTCATTTCTGACTGATCATACAGCTTGAAGCCCTTCACTCTCGCTTGAAGTCAATGAAAACCACTTTTTTTGCTCGTGGTTTCAGTTTATCATTCTGCACGGGATAGTAAGATGGACAACCAAACACTTATGTGCCCATATTCTCTAGCATGATGCCCTGACCACATCTTCTTTGGAGTTTTCTTCCCAATAACTGCAAAAGGCAGACGGTTCACCAAGTGGCATACATGTTCTATAGTATCGGCCCAATATATTCTATCCAACCGAGCGTTGGATAACATACACAAAATATTCTCCACCGAAGTCTCGTTCATTCTCTCTGTCACCCCGTTCTATTGTGGTGTCTGTCGAATTGTAAAGTGATGCTCTATCCCAGCTCTCTGGAACTCTTGCAAGAACTCATCTGAAGTGTATTCACCCCTATTGTCTGATCTGATACACTTGATCTTTTTATCAGCCTGAGTCTCATTCTATTTCTTGTGAGTTATGAAAATCTCCAACACATCGCTTATGTGCTTCATGATGTACACTCAAGCATCCCTTGAGTAATTATTATTAAACGAGACAAAGTATCTCCGTCCGCTGAATGATGCTGTCATCGTCGGGCCCTAAACATCTGTGTGTACGTATATTAAAATAGCTTTTGTACGGTGGATGACAGTCCCAAAAAATTACTTGTGTATTCTTGCCAAATACACAAGTCTGTAGTGAAGCCTCTCCACCAAAGTCTGTGATCAATCATTTCTTCACCAAAGTCTGTAGTGAAGCCTCTCCAGTATGAGCTAGCCTCATATGCCACAACATTGTGGTGTCAGAAGAATTATTAACAATAACAGTCGTTCCAGTCACTGTACTACCCTGAAGATAGTAAATATTGTGATGATGAACTCCATTCATAAAAATTATTGTTCCACGTCATTTCCTTGAAACTCCTGCCTCAATAACTACCTTGTAGCCCTTGGGCTCTAAAGCCCCAACTGACAACAACTTCTTCCTTGTATTTGAAACATGTTTAACATCGATTAGCTCTCCCACAGCACCATCATACATTCTGATAAAGATACTCTCTATACTAATAGTACAACAAACTTGATCATTTCCCATAGTCACTACATCATTATCCAACTCCTTATACATACAAAATCACCATCGATGAGGACAAATGTGATAGGTAGCACATGTGCCTAGAATCCAACACGAATTATTTGTAAATAAACTGTGAGAAATTGTAGATAATGATACATTTGAATACGTCTCTTCACCTCTTACCACAATGACATTGGTTTTCGCCTCAGATGTAACTTCATTTCCCTTCCATTTTATCTTAGAACAATCTTTTTTCTAACGAACAATCTCAAAATAGAAAACACACTGATTTTTTTCAAGATTACGCCCGCGACACTTACCCTGCTTTTGAGAAGTGTTGTTGTTGTCCATTTTCTTTCCCCAATTCTTCTTTTTTTTCTTAGATCTGTCACGTTGGCGTGTAAGTGCCTCAACTGACTCCATTTTTGCGGACTTCTTATTCCTTCGACGAAACTCATGATTCAATAGCGTCGTAGTTACTTCGCCATAATTCAACACTTCATTCCCATGAATGAGTGTCATTGTGACGTTTTTGTATTCATCTGGAAGCGAATTTAACAGAAGAAGCGTTATGTCTTTATCTCCAACTTTCTCGTACAAATTTAACAGAGCTGCTAACATCTTTGTGATGTCATTCAAGTGTTTATCAATAGTAACCCCCCATTTCATCTAAAATCTGTAGAGTCGATGCTTCGTATATAGGCGGTTCTCTACGCTTTTTGTGAAATATTTGTTTTCCAGCATCCTTTACAATTTCTCTGCAGACTTCTCCTTCATCACCCCTTATTTGATCTCTTAGGTCAAATAATTTCATATCAAGTCCCAAGCACTTTCATTTTTAATCAATCTCTCTTTGAAGTCTCTTCATAAAATTCCTCGCTTTACAGGACTTCCTTAAGATTTAGAGAGTACAACACATCCATTACTTCGCATCGCCACGTATCAATGTTTTTTTTGTTGTCAAAATTTATCACATCGATTTTGATGGGATGAACCACCTGATGAAACGATTTTTTCACTATCTTAGTGGACGTTGAAGAACCTGTCATCGTATTACCATTCATGATTACCACTCTTAGAATCCCTTTAAAAAAATTTTTCTAATAGAATACCTGAGAAAAAAGAAAAAAGAAAACAATAAAAAAAGGCTCACTTGATTTTTTTTTGTCTCTAAAAAGTATTTAATTTTCTTTTTCCTTTTTTTTTTCTTTTCCGAAAAAAAATTTTTTCTTAAGAAAATTTTTTTTTTTTCTTTTCTCCGATTCCTCGTTTATCGAAATGCTCCCTGCTAAGAAATGTTCCAGTTTAACCAAAAGTTTTCCCAAAATTAAATTGTTCCTTGTTCACTTCGAAAGAAAACTTAAAAACTTCCCTAGTTAAAAATTCCCTTTTCCTTTTAAAAGAAAATTT